ATAACTTGCTTTCATTTATCTTTTCTATTGTAATAGATTATATTCTGGTTATTTACAAGTTTTTCTTGCCTGAAAAACTTAGGTAATGAATGTTCTTCACTTAAAATAAGCCAAGTATATTTTATTTAATTAAGAAGGTTCTTGTAAGCTTTCTCATGTATAAAAGTTTTGTTTTATTTTGATATATATCCTTTGTTTGCCTAATAGTTGAAAAGATACTGTTAGAGAGTTTAGTTAGTGTATTAAATCTTTTGTTTAGTTATAGTATTTGTTATTTAGTTTTAGGTACCTTACCCTTAGTTTAGTTTTCATGATCACAACTTTGTTATTATATTTTTGTTTTATTTCATTTTTGCCTTGTGTTAATATAATACTCGTAAGTATTAGCATTAGGAAACCTTTAGAATAATTGTTATCCTCTTAATTTTTATAAATAATTCAGTCTTCATCCTCAAAACTTATTATAAACTATATTTGTGATAAAATCTATCTTCCAGAATATAATTTGTAATATTAAGAATTACTATAATAATATTTTTATATAAAAGCATATTATTATATTATATAAAAATATTTTTAAAGTAAGAATAATTTAAAAATCAGTTTTCTTTAAAGTTTATTAAAATTTTTTTTTATAATTTAAGATTCTTTAATTAACTTTATATAAAAAGAGAAAAGAGAGAGAGAGAGAAAGAGATAATTATATATAATTCAGATATAATATAATTATATTTTTTAATAGTAAAATTTAGTAAATTATTTTTATTCTTATAATATAAAATATAATTTCAATTTTATTAAATAAAAAGTTCATAAATTTGAATTATTTTACCAATCAAAACTTAAGATCAAGACTAAATAAAGATAACTTAAAATCATTTTCATCAAGCTTAAGTCAAAATATTCAACTTACAAGAAATTAAGATATAAAGAAAACAAAAAGTAAAAATATAATGCTATATTTTTCAATTATCAAGTCATTAAGAATGCAATACAATAAAAAGATTCAAGCAAAAATTCATCATTATTGATAAATAATTATATTTCAACATCACAATATTAATTAAATACGTGAAGAGAAAATATGCATTTTAAAGTTGTATTGAAAGTTTCATGATTGCTAAATAAAATATTCGAATATCTTAAAATTTGACACTTCATTTATTAGTCTTCTCTCACAACTTAAATAAAGCATTTGATCAAATTTGAATACAAGAAAAAGTATTTCGGATATCAAAAAATGATTTATTTAAAAAAAGGATCTGTTTGAAACTAATATGAGAAACTATCCATAATTCGATAAATGTTGACATTCTATAAAATTGTACATAGAAACCCCGTCCTCTCTTCTGCTCTGGCAGCGATCTGTTTTTGTAAATTCATACTTTGGGCCTCAAGGGATTTTATATGTTCAGTTAGTTTTCTCTTTTCTTCTTCAGATAATTTTTTCTCTTCTTCCGAAACTTTTTTAAGGTTCTCCAGCTCTTGCAGTACCTTTTCGTTTTCTGTCATATAACCACCGATTCGATCATTCATAGCGTCCAGGTTTTCAGGTTTATAAATTCCTTGACAGGTTGCCAAATAAATCAAGAGTCTTTTCCGTGACTCTTCACGAATATCGCGGTTTATGGCAGCTGAACGACCTTTTAACGGCGGATTGTCGATATATATAATCTTGCACACGCCAAGTATATTGAAAAGAGATTCATTCTCATTCCGTAATTTTTGTTGATCACTATCACATTCGTTTTGGTCTTCAAAGTCTGGGAAATTAGTTCTTACGATGGTGGTGTATTCGGCAACCCTTTTGTCAAAAATAACAGATTTTAATAACCCAAAAGTATTTATTTCTTCTTTGGTGAATCGTCCGTTGGTTACAAACAAGATTTGATTTAAGCCTTCTTTGATATGATAACTAGCTTCTGCTAGCCTGTAAAGAACTCCTTGGGCAGTTAGACGGGTGTCACCGATTCCTACAGTATCAATTACTTTGTATTTAATTTTTTGCTTCCCACTTGTATCTATTGCTTCTTCGAATTCTTTTATTTGAATCCCTCGTGTTTCACTGATACTACCAGCACTTTCCGTAAATTCGTTAGAATTAGTTAGCACGTTAGCTAACGTTGATTTTCCGTTTCCCGTACGGCCAATTAATATAATATTTTTTGTATCAGTCATTCTTTTTAAAAATAATATCTAGACAAATTTATTGTTTTGTTCAGGTATAAATAACTGAATTTAAGCAACCCTCAAAAATTGGACCAAGATGGTTTTATGGTACTCAAAATAGTAATGATCTTTATTTCCTTCTACAATTTTGAGACCACGAAAAATCCAGTATAAATACTTGCTCATAATAAGTATGTACTGCTTTCTATACTTTCTATTTTGTTTTTTTATTTTTTATTTTTTTGTTGCTATTGTGTAATCTCTATTGTTAAGCGCATTTCAAGTGTCATACACTCGGTGGTCAAAAGTCTGCAATCGGGAAATGATCAGCAATGTAGATCGCGAAATTTGTGATACTTTAACTTTATATTACTCGACCTCTTCATAAATAAAAAATATATCATTTTATTCAGTAAAAGTAGGGCATTTTATACATATAGTTAATATCGGGTTGGATACCCATTAGCATCAATTACAGCTTGTACTCTTCTCGGCATACTTTCAACCAAATTTCTTAAAAGTCCTGGTTTAATCGTTTCCCATTCCTCCGCAAGTGCATCCATCAATTCTTCTAGATTTTTGGGGTGAGTTGGATGTGCACGAATTCGTCTTTCCAAAACATCCCACAAATGCTCAATTGGATTTAGATCAGGGCTCTGGGCAGGCCATGGAAGTGAAGTGATTAAATTTTCCTCTTTCCATTGACTGGCTGCACCATATCTGTGGACTGGCTCATTATCATCTTGAAAAAGATGAATGGCAAATCATTTAGAAATGGCAGAAGATTCCCGGCAATGGGTTTGGCGCCGATCACGATGTTGATTCTTCCTAGTATGAAATCAGGCAATCAGGAAATAATGGTGTAGGGATGTTTTACTCAAAATTCACCTGACCATTAATCAAAGTTAAAGGTGGAATAACTGGTCAAAAGTGTATAGAAATAATGGAACAGAATCATTTCGGAATATGACTCATCACTCCAAATTACTAATTCCTATTCACTAATCCAATCTTTTCGTTCTGAGCACCATTTTAATCGTTTTTGATGGTTTTCCTCAGCTACAAAAGGTATAGTACTGGAACTAACAGTTACAGTCATAGCAGTATTGAAATTTTTGGTAATTTCGTCAACTCCTTGTTGTCGATCATCTTTAACAATATTAATTAACCTTCGAGTAGCTCTATCATCTAATTTTTGTGGTCTACCGCGCCGGGCGGGCAACTGTAGTTTGGCCAAACTCTTTGTATTTATTAATAATAGTATGAACAGTAGATTTGGGTCGTCCTAGAGTATCTCCAATCTTTTTTTCAGACAAACCACACTCCCAACCGCCGATGATCTCACCGCGCTCAAAATCTGTAAGTTCGTAATTTTGACGAGTATTGGTTGGATTTGACATCGGTTTTTTTATTTTATTTGAAAGCTTGAGATTTCAGCTTTCTAATGAAGTAATGTGCGTCCTTTCCTTGTCGCACAATAGACGTTTGAAATTACCCCTTAATTACGTCGATCATTGCCCGATTGCAGACTTTTGACCACCGAGTGTACATGTATTAACTAATATTTTATGGAGTAACGATACAAAAGACATTTCATGCAAAGATATGGAAGTTATTGCACAAACATAGTTCTGTAGGAGCTATTTTGATGAAAAGATCATTTCATCTCCAAACTTGAAAATTTATTTGATTAATTTCGAGAAAATCACAGTTAAGTATTTAAACAAAAAAGAAATAGAAAACCAAAAAATTATAAAATTTATGCACTTTAGCAAGCTACGGGAAAAGCTCACGAAATCTGACAATTTTTACCAATCGCTTTATCAAGCATTTGCGCAACTGGAAAGAGCATACCAAGAATTTCTGAAAAGAAGCCTCCCGTAGTATTTGCAATTTGATGCTTTAACTGTTCACCTTGTTCCTCAAGAGATCGTATTTGCTCTATTAATTTCATTTTCTCTTCCTGAGATAATTTTTGCTGTTGTTCTGCTAATTTTTTCAAATTCTTCAACTCTTGTTGTATTTTTTCGGTTTCCGTCATATAATTACCGATTCGATCATTCATAGCATCCAGATTTTGAGGTCTATAAGTTCCTTGACAGGTCGCCAAGTGAACCAGAAGTCTTTTTCTTGAATCTTTACGAATTTCCTGATTTATAGATGCGGTACGACCTTTTAACGGTGGGTTATCGACATATATAATCCTGGTAGCGCTAAGTATTTTAAAAATAGCAGGATTCTCGGCACGTAATTGTTGTTGGTCTTGCTGACATTTAAGCTCGTCTTCGAATTCAGGAAAATTGGTCCTTACAATGGTAGTGTATTTGGAAACATCTGCGTCGAAAACGACTGATTTTAATAAACCAAAAGTATCTATTTCTTCTTTGGTGAATCGACCGTTGGTAATAAATAAAATTTGATTTAAGCCGTCTTTGATGTAATGACAGGCTTCCGCTATTTTATAAAGCACTCCTTGCTCGGTTAAACGCGTATCACCGATTCCTACGGTATCGATTACTCTGTATTTAATAGCTTCTTCCCCATTTGAGTTTATTTCTTCTTCAAATTCTTTTATTTGAATTTCTCGTGTTTCACTAACACTGCCAGCACTTTCCGTAAAGAAGTTAGGTGATTTGGTTAGCACGTTAGCTAATGTTGATTTTCCGTTACCCGTGCGGCCAAATAATATGATATTTCTTATATCAGTCATGTTTTATTTAAGTAGTAAAAGAAATCCACTGTATTTATATACATGTATGTTGTGTATCAGATGACGAGCTCGGTTAAATTAGAGTTAGGTGGTTAGAATTAAGGTTCATGCTGGTCCTCTGAGGCGTAACATACATATCGACATAAAAACAAGATGTTTCAAAATAGGAAATATCGTTGTTTCCTATTTCGATGCATAACAACAAAAAAATACCCAAATGCTATTTATATAATCATTTTTGTACTTTACTGATGATTTATTCATACAGTATTATTGGAATTATAACTTCATCCTAGTTAACGTTAAGTTAAATAATGAATATATTATTTATAGTTTAAATATAATTATTTTAGTAAATGCATTTTTTTATTTTGTGCTTTATGCTTAATATTTAAAATTCTACTAATTAAAATCAAAGTAATATCTTCCAACAATTCATAAATGAATCCGAGATAAATCATCATCTTTGGCTAATAAAAAGTAGCGATGGTGTATTTGTGAAATTTGTATAAATTCATTTAAAGAAGAGAGTTATTGGAGTGAAAAGAGCATCTCGATAATCCGCAGCTACAACGAACCTGTGTAACTCGTGAAAAATCACGGAAAGACACTTGATTTATTAGATCTTTGAAGGAATTTATAGACCTGAAAACCTGATACTATGAATGTTCGAATCGATAGCTATATGACAGAAAATGAAAAGGGTTAGAAAATCTTATAAAAGTATCGGGGATATTGTTGCACAATATATTAGAGGATTTTTCTCTGCGCTTAAAGTTTACTTAGATCTTTCCATCAAAGATATGGTTAGGCTAATTTCTACAAGAACTCATTGATCATGTTTATACAGAACAGCTTCCGTAATTAACCATACATTGATCTTTTTTGATATAGCGCATGTTTGTATGAACAGGTATTCATACTGAATTTCGTGGTTTCACTTGAAAATGTTGTACGTGTACTATGCAACAGGAAATACAGTTCCTATTTTGAGTGTACTTTGTAATAGGAAATAAAGACAGTTCCTTTTTTTGAGTACGTAAACTCCTTTTTTAAATTAAATACCGCATATGTGTATCATGTCACTTGTTTTAGGTAAAAGAGGGGATTGATTAAAATCGGGGCTTTATCGTATCGGTGCTTTGTGAAAAAAACTCCGCATAAATATAAAAATACAGTTTATTTACACCAAAAGACTTCAAGTCACAAAATAACAATATGACTGATATAAGAAATATCATATTAA